CGAACTAGAACAGAACTAGAACAGAACTAGAACAGAACTAGAACAAGAACAGAACTAACAGAACTAGAACAGAACTAGAACAGAACTAGAACAGAACTAGAACAGAACTAGAACAGAACTAGAACAGAACTAGAACAGAACTAGAACAGAACTAGAACAGAACTAGAACAGAACTAGAACAGAACTAGAACAGACTAGAACAGAACTAGAACAGAACTAGAACAGAACTAGAACAGAACTAGAACAGAACTAGAACAGAACTAGAACAGAACTAGAACAGAACTAGAACAGAACTAGAACAGAACTAGAACAGAACTAGAACAGAACTAGAACAGAACTAGAACAGAACTAGAACAGAACTAGAACAGAACTAGAACAGAACTAGAACAGAACTAGAACAGAACTAGAACAGAACTAGAACAGAACTAGAACAGAACTAGAACAGAACTAGAACAGAACTAGAACAGAACTAGAACGAACTAGAACAGAACTAGAACAGAACTAGAACGAACTAGAACAGAACTAGAACAGAACTAGAACAGAACTAGAACAGAACTAGAACAGAACTAGAACAGAACTAGAACAACTAGAACAGAACTAGAACAGAACTGAACAGAACTAGAACAGAACTAGAACAGAACTAGAACAGAACTAGAACAGAACAGAACTAGAACAGCACTAGAACAGAACTAGAACAGAACTAACAGAACTAGAACAGAACTAGAACAGAACTAGAACAGAACTAGAACAGAACTAGAACAGAACTAGAACAGAACTAGAACAGAAGAACTAGAACAGCTAGAACAGAACTAGAACGAACTAGAACAGAACTAGAACAGAACTAGAACAGAACTAGAACAGAACTAAACTAGAACTAGAACAGAACTAGAACTAAACAGAACTAGAACAGAACTAGAACAGAACTAGAACAGAACTAGAACAAACTAGAACAGAACTAGAACAGAACTAGAACAGAACTAGAACAGAACTAGAACAGAACTAGAACAAAACTAGAACAAACTAGAACAGAACTAGAACAGAACTAGAACAGAACTAGAACAGAACTAGAACAGAACTAGAACAGAACTAGAACGAACTAGAACAGAACTAGAACAGAACTAGAACAGAACTAGAACAGAACTAGAACAGAACTAGAACAGAACTAGAACAGAACTAGAACAGAACTAGAACAGAACTAGAACAGAACTAGAACAGAACTAGAACAGAACTAGAACAGAACTAAACAGAACTAGAACAGAACTAGAACGAACTAGAACAACTAGAACAGAACTAGAAACAGAACTAGAACAGAACTAGAACAGAACTAGAACAGAACTAGAACAGAACTAGAACAAACTAGAACTGAACTAGAATAGAACTAGAACAAACTAGAACAGAACTAGAACAGAACTAGAACAGAACTAGAACAAACTAGAACAGAACTAGAACAGAACTAGAACAAAATCAGAACAGAACTAGAACAGAACTAGAACATGAACTAGAACAAACTAGAACAGAACTAGAACAGAACTAGAACAGAAACTAGAACAGACTAAACGAACTAGAACAGAACTAGAACAGAACTAGAACAGAACTAGAACAGAACTAGAACAGAACTAAACAGAACTAGAACAGAAACTAGAACAGAACTAGAACAGAACTAGAACAGAACTAGAACAGAACTAGAACAGAACTAGAACAGAACTAGAACAGAACTAGAACAGAACTAGAACAGAACTAGAACAGAACTAGAACAGAACTAGAACAGAACTAGAACAGAACTAGAACAGAACTAGAACAGAACTAGAACAAAACTAGAACAGAAACTAGAACAGAACTAGAAACAGAACTAGAACAGAACTAGAACAGACACTAGAACAGCACTAGAAACAGAACTAGAAAGAACAGAACTAGAAAGAACTAGACAAAACTAGAACAGAACTAGAACAGAACTAGAACAGAAAATCGTACTAGAACAGAACAGAACTAGAACAGCCACTAGAACAGAACTAGAACTAGAACAGAACAACAGAACTAGAACAGAACTAGACAGAACTAGAACTAGAACAGAACTAGAACTAGAACAGAACTAGAACAGAACTAGAACAGCACTAGAACAAAACTAGAACAGAACTAGAACAGAACTAGAACAGAACTAGAACAGAACTAGAAACAGAACTAGACCAAACTAGAACAAACTAGAACAGAACTAGAACAGCAACTAGAACAGAACTAGAACAGAACTAGAACAGAACTGAAACAGAACTAGAACAGAACTAGAACAGAACTAGAACAGAACTAGAACAGAACTAGAACAGAACTAGAACAGAAACTAGAACAGAACTAGAACAGAACTAGAACAGAACTAGAACAGAACTAGAACAGAACTAGAACAGAACTAGAACAGAACTAGAACAAAACTAGAAACAAACTAGAACAGAACTAGAACAGAACTAGAACAGAACTAGAACAGAACTAGAACAGAACTAGAACAGAACTAGAGCAGAACTAGAACAGAACTAGAACAGAACTAGAACAGAACTAGAACAGAACTAGAACAAAACTAGAACTGAACTAGAATAGAACTAGAACAGAACTAGAACAGAACTAGAACAGAACTAGAACAGAACTAGAACAAAATCAGAACAGAACTAGAACAGAACTAGAACTGAACTAGAACAAAACTAGAACAGAACTAGAACAGAACTAGAACAGAACTAGAACAGAACTAGAACAGAACTAGAACAGAACTAGAACTAAACTAGAACAGAACTAGAACAGAAACTAGAACAGAACTAGAACAGAACTAGAACAGAACTAGAACAGAACTAGAAACAGAACTAGAACAGAACTAGAACAGAACTAGAACAGAACTAGAACAGAACTAGAACAGAACTAGAACGAACTAGAACAGAACTAGAACAGAACTAGAACAGAACTAGAACAGAACTAGAACAGAACTAAAACAGAACTAGAACAGAACTAGACAGAACTAGAACAGACTAGAACAGAACTAGAACAGAACTAGAACAGAACTAGAACAGAACTAGAACAGAACTAAAACAGAACTAGAACAGAACTAGAACAGAACTAGAACAGAACTAGAAAGAACTAGAACAGAACTAGAACTAGAACAGAACTAGAACAGAACTAGAACAGAACTAGAACAGAACTAGAACAGAACTAGAACAGAACTAGAACAGAACTAGAACAGAACTAGAACAGAACTAGAACAGAACTAGAACAGAACTAGAACAGAACTAGAACAGACTAGAACAGAACTAGAACAGAACTAGAACAGAACTAGAACAGAACTAAACAGAACTAGAACAGAACTAGAACAGAACTAGAACAGAACTAGAACAGAACTAGAACAAACTAGAACAGAACTAGAACAGAACTAGAACAGAACTAGAACAGAACTAGAACAGAACTAGAACAGAACTAGAACAGAACTAGAACTGAACTAGATCTTAAATATGCCAGTCTATAGTCTAGCATATTCTATAGTCAACTCTATAGTCTAGTATATAGTCTAGTCTATAGTCTAGTGTGCAGTCTAGCCTATAATAAGTCTAAAGTCTAGTCTAGTGTATAGTCTGGTTTAATCTAATTTAAATAAATATGTCTGTAGTTCTAACGTCCGGTGGCTCACATTGTGTTACCACAACATGGCAAAATGTCAATAAAGAGAGAAAAACGGAACCATACATTTAACGGTAAATGATTATGGGAAAAATGACACACACACACAACCAAACAAGAGTATTCGGCTAAGCACTAAAAAAAAAACGAGAGTAAAATACAAGAAAAACAAGATGAAGGTAAAGCAAGAAAGGAAGAAGAAGAAGAAGAAAAAAGAAACACAGACACGAAAATCTATTACACTTTAACATTTTCTACTTAAATTCATACAACGACAAAACGTTGAACGGTTGTAACGATTGTTGTACATATATATTAGTAACGGGATATTTCTACTACATACTATTAGATATCTATAGTATATATTTAAACAACGAGACGTTACTTAAATTATATGATAAAATTTGAAAAAAAAAAAAAAAAAAAAGAAAAATTTATTTAAGAAAAAACTATAAAGAAAATCTTGCTTTTAAAGGTTTTGAGTGTAATTTATTTAAAAAAAAAAAACGTTCAAAGTTTAAGAAAGGAGATGAAAAGTGTGTTTTTTGCTTTAGTGATTTTTTTATAAAAAATTTTCCTAAAAAAAATTTATATGTATATGTATAGAAATTTTAAGTGAAAAGTTGGAGAAAAAAAAATAATAAAATTTTCCTTAAATTTAATTTTAGTTAAGTATTGAAAAATTTATGAAAAAATGGCTTAAAATAAAACTTATTATGGCATAATAAAATATTAAAAAAAGAAGAAAAAAAACGCGAGAAAAAAATTGGTTGGTTTTCGTTTTAAGGTTCGTAACATCGTGGATAAAATACTACAAAAACAACAGCAACAAAACAAGAATTAAGAAATAAAAAAAAAACGATTTTTCCGATTTTTTTTTTCATTTTCATTTTTCCAACAGCTAGAAATATACTTATTATAGAAATGTGTTGAGTTGAAAAGAAAAAAAAAATAGTTTATAATTTGCCACTTTTCCACTAAGCCAGTGAAGAAGAGCATTTAAGCCAAAAAGGCAGCCAAAAGGCTGTGAAAATATATACATATATATATATATATAATGCTAGTGTTAAAAATCAATAAAATGGCTACAAAAAATAACTACAACAACAGCAACAACACTAGCAGCAACAACAACAACAACAACAGCAACATTCACAACTACTACAGCAACAAACAAAATTTCAGAAAATCAATTTTTTCAAATAAATAACCTAAATATTCATATTTTATATAAATAATAGGAGAACAACAGCAACAACACAAATAAGGAAAATTTATTAACAGAGGAAACAGCAATAACAACAAAAACAACAGCAGTTAAAACAACATCAACAGCAAACCCCCCCCCCCCCCCCCATGGAGACAACAAAACAGCATCAGCAGCAAATTAAAATCTAAAGAGATAAAACCCCACTACAGCAAATTTATAAAAAAATTTAAAAAAAAATATATATAAAATTTATCTCTAAAAAATGAAAAGAGTATAAAAAAAGAGTGTGTATAAGTGTATGTGTGTTTTAAAAAAAATGTTCTTCAATAAAAAATGTAAAGTGAAAAGTAAATGTTTATAGGGCTGTGTTCAATGTATACTTTAAATTAAAATAATTAAAAAAAAATTTCAAAAAAAATTTCAAAAAATTAAAAAAAAAATGAAATTTTTATAAAATCTTCATCTCCAAAACCCTTAAACAAAATTTGCCACACAAAAAAAATTAACCAAAACTTCTTTAACAACTAACAACAACAACATCAACTCTTTTCTACAGAAACTTTATACTATTGCTGCTCTTCTCTCTCTCTCTCTCTGTCACGCCTCCCCCCCCCTTTAAATTTCACACCTTCTTGTTACATCAAACAATGGCTTCTTCGTTATTGGATTTAGATGATTTAATAGAATTTCAATTGGAACGTCTTAATTTTGATGATCTCAACTATAAAGATGAATTACAATTACAACGTCAACTTTTGGATTTGGATGCTTTACAGTGCTCGCAACGTCGTCTCAAACATACCCTAACAAAAACTTTAGCCAATCAACAACATCAGGCTTTACAGGTACCGGAGGCCTCATCATGCACAGATTTACCCTCCTCACTGGCGGCTGGTGGTGAAACTTTAGGTCCTTCACCACATCATCACAATAATAGTAATAACAATAATAATAATAATAACAACAACCATAGCAGCAGTAGTACAGGTGCCATTGCCCGCAGCAGTAGCGGTCGTCGCTCTAAGGGCCGTGATGTGGCGCCAGTGGGTGGTAGTGTTCAAAATATTGCCAATGGTAGTATAGAAATAGCTATGGAAGATTTAGGGCCCGGTGCGGTGGGTGGTGAGAATGGTCGTGGTGTGCTGCGCGGCAATATTAGTTTGCCTAGTTTTAGTGATAGTGAGGAGGAGGCCTTCAACATAGATCAACAAAAGGAATTTAGGTAAGGAAATACAAATGTTTTTATTATATTTATAACCACCGTTCATTCGTCCGACTAGATTATATAGTATAATATAAAGTAGAGTATAGATTAGAATGTAGACTAGGCTATAGAGTAGACTATTGATAAAACCATATACTATAGGCTAGACTACATCATAGACAAGATCAGACTATAGACTATAATATAGACTATAGTGTAGAATATAGACTGGGCTACAGACTAGGCTGTAGACAAAACTATAGAATAGATTATAAACTAAACTATAGACTATACACAAGACTGTACGACTTAACTATAAACTAAACTATAGACTAGATTATAAGCCAAACTATAGACTAGACAATAGATTCGTCAATAGACTAGACAATACCCGATACTAAAGACCACATTATAGGCTAAACTTTAGATTATAGATTACACTACACACTAATCTGTAGACTAGACTCGACTAGACCAGACTACAGAATAGACTATAGACTACACTATAGATTAGACTATAGGCTAGACCACAAACTAGGCTGTAGAATAGACTACAGATTTGACTAACAACTAGACTATCGACTAGACTGTAGACTAGACTATAGCCATGAATATATACTAGACTATACACTAGACTGTAGACTAGACTATAGGCTGCACTATGGACTACACTACAAACTAGACTATATACATGATTATAAACTAAACTATAGAATAGACTATAGATTAGTCAATAGACTAAGCAATACCCGAGACTAAAGACAAGACTATAGACTAAACTATAGACTACATATTACACTACAGACTAATCTATAGACGTAGTCTTGTCTATAGACCCCAAAGATCTTTTGAAAATTTACAAACATCACACTATAGACTAGACAATAGACTAGAATATAGACTAGACTATAGGCTACCCTTTAGAACAAAATATACACTTGACTACAGACATGACTATGAATGACTATAAACTAGACTCTAGACTAGACAGACTATAGACTAGACTATAGACTAGACTATAGACTAGACTATAGACTAGACTATAGACTAGACTATAGACTAGACTATAGACTAGACTATAGACTAGACTATAGAATAGACTATAGACTAGACTATAGACTAGACTATAAAATAGATTATAAACTAGACTATAGACTAGACTATAGACTAGACTATAGACTAGACTATAGCCTAGACTATAGGCTAGACTATAGACTAGAATATAGACTAGACTATAGACTGGACTATAGGCTAGACTATAGACCAAACTATAGACTAGACTATAGGCTAGACTATAGGCTAGACTATACTATAGACTAGTCTACATACTAGATATATACTAGACTATAGACAAAAGCATAGACTAGACTATAGACTAGACTATAGACTAGACTATAGACTAGACTATAGACTAGACTATAGACTAGACTATAGACTAGACTATAGACTAGACTATATAAACCAGACTATAGACTAGACTATAGACTAGACTTTAGACTAATATAAACCAGACTCATAGAACCTAGACTATAGACTAGACCTATAGAACTAGACTAGAGCCAGACTATAGGACTAGACTATAGACTAAGACTATAGACTAGACTATAGACTAGACTAGACTATCGACTAGACTATAGACTAGACTATAGACTAGACTATAGACCTATAGACTAGACTATAGACTAGACTATAGACTAGACTTAGAACTAGATCTATAGACTGAGACTATATGACTAGACTATAGACTAGACTATAGACTAGACTATAACGAGACTATAGACTACTAGAGCTAGACTATAGACTAGACTATAGACTAGACTATAGACTAGACTGATAGACTAGACTATAGACTAGACTATAGACTAGAACTAAGACTAACTATAGACTAGACTATAGACTATGACTTAGACTAGACATATAGCACTAGACTATAGACTAGACTATAGACTAGACTATAGACTAGACTATAGACTAGACTATAGACTAGACTATAGACTAGACTATAGACTAGAAACTACTAGACTATAGACTAGACTATGACTAGACTATAGACTAGACTATAGACTAGACTATCTAGACTATAGACTAGACTAGAGACTAGACTATAGCTAGACTATAGACTATAGACTAGACTATAGACTATAGACTAGACTAAAAATAGACTAGACTATATAGACTAGACTAGATAGACTATAGACTAGACTATAGATAGACTATAGACTAGACTATAGACTAGACTATAGACAACTATAGATAGACTATAACTAGACTATAGACTACTATAGACTAGACAACTCCTATGACAGCTAGACTAGACTATAGACTAGACTATGGCTAGACTAGTAGACATAGACTAGACTATAGGCTAGAATATAACTAGGCTAGCTTAGCTAGACTATAGACTAGACTATAGGCTAGACTATAGGCTAGACTATAGACTAGACTATAGACTAATATATGACTAGACTATAGGCTAGACTAGTCTATATACTAGATATATATAGACTATATACAAAAGCATAGACTAGACTATAGACTAGAATATAAACTAAACAATGGATTAGTCAATACTAATACTAGACTAAGTATACCCGAGACTATAGTTTACACTATAGAATAAACTATATAGATCGCACTACAGACTAATCTCTAGACTAGACTACAGTCTAGACTACACAGAGGGAAAAGGAAATATACACGCCTGGTACCAAATTGACACAAAAGAGTTTATAATTTTTCAACAACATCCGTTGTCAAAGTATATATATACGTACGACAACACTATTGGCAACGGATTGTTTGTCAATAGTGAGCTTACCACATTTGTTAACATTTAGACAGCGGATGTGTATAAAATTTAGATTTCGACAATGAATTGTTGCAATGTTGTCAACATTACATAGGGTTGTATTTATACTTTGACAACGGTTGGTATTGAAAAATTATAAACAATTTAGTGTCAATTGGGTACCAGGCGCGTATATTTCTTTTCCCTCTGTGTATAGAACAGACTATCGACAAGACTAAACTATATACTAGACTACAGACTAGACTATTTACTACGCTATAGATTAGACTATAGACTAGACTATAGACTACACTATATACTAGACTATAGACTACACTATAGACTAGACTATAGACTACACTATAGATTAGACTACAGACTAGACTACAGAGTAGGAAATGAACTAGACTATAACCGAGGCTAGAGAAAAAACTGTGGACTGAACTATAGAATAGACTAGACTATCGACCAAACTATATACTAGACCATAGGATAGCCTGTAGACTAGTCTAGCCTACACTAGACTATAGTGTAGACAATAGACTACACTATAAACTAGGTAATAGACTACACTATATACTTGACTATAGACTATAGATAGATTATACGACTAGAATATAGACTAAACTAAAGACTAGGCTGGACTGTAGACTGTAGACTAGATTGTAGACTAGACTGTAGACTAGACTGTAGACTAGACTGTAGATTCGACTATAGTCTTGACTATAGGCTGGACTATTGACTAAACTATAAGTTGGACAATAGACCAGACTTCCGTTTAGACTATAGTCTAAACTATAGACTAGACTATAGACAAGACTATAGAGTAAACTAGACTATAGCCTAGACTACACTATAGATTAGACTATATACTAGACTATAGACTAAACTATAGACTAGACTACAGAGTAGGATATGGACTAGACTATAACCGAGGCTAAAGAAAAAACTGTGGACTAAACTATAGAATAGACTAGACTATCGACCAAACTATATACTAGACCATAGGATAGCCTGTAGACTAGTCTAGCCTACACTAGACTATAGTGTAGACAATAGACTACACTATAGACTATGTAATAGACTAGACTGTATACTTGACTATAGACTAGACTATAGACTGAAATATAGCCAAGACTATAGACTAAAATATAGACTAAACTATAAACTAGGCTGGACTATAGCCTAGACTATAGACTAGACTTAACTATAGTCTTCTACAGACTTGAGCATTGACTAGACTAGAAACTAGAACAATTTCTGTCATTTTCAGGCTTTCATCAAAATTAGATCGGGAGTCTTCTCCTCGGGTACAATGATTTGAAAATTCTCGATCATTCTTACATCACTATATAAGTCTTCTTCATCAAAATTTTTCAACGATATTACGCAAAGATTTCAAAGATTTAAAAAAAAAAAGATTCTAAGAAAACATTCCAAAGATCATTAGAAAATATCTCAAAGATCTTTAGAAAATACGCCAAATGTCTTTAGAAAACTTTAGAAAATACCACAATGATGCTAAAGATCTTTTGAAAAGATACCAAGACTCTTTAAATATGACTTCAGTTATCTTTAGATAATATAATAATCCTAAAAATCATAAGAAAAGTTCTTTTAGATCAAAAAAAAAAAAATATTCCAAAGTTCGTTAGAAAAAAAATCTTTATAAAAGATTCCAATTATTTTAAGGAAACATATCATAGCTTTTTAGAAAAGATTCGATACATCTTTAGAAAGGATCACAACAAAAATATCAAACATCATAAGAAAACATTCTTAAGATTACTAGAAAATACCCCAAAGATTTAGAAAAGACTCGAAAGTTAGCTAGAAAAGATCCCAAGGATGATTAAAATAGGTTCCAAACATATTGAGATTTTCAGAAAATAATGATTTTTAAAAAAGATCGCAAAAATTTTTCGAATACAAATTTCTTTAGAAGATGATCCTTAAAAAAGTTTGAAACATGTTTAGAATACATTCTTAAGATCTGAAGAATCTTAGGAAAATATCTTCAGAAAAGATTCCAAAGATCGTTAAAAAACATCCCACGGCTCTTAAAAAATCACAAAGTCCATAGAAAATATACCAAAAACTTCAGAAAAGATTTCAATATTCTTTAGTTAAGATCTGTAGAAATGATACCAAAAGTCTATAGAAAAGATCTCAAATGTGTTAAGAAAATATCTTAGAACTTTTTAAAAAGATGCCAGAAAATATCCCAATG